ATGAACGTGAGACATCATTTGACGCTTTCATTAACAAAACATCTGTATTTATAGCGATTAATTGTCTTTAAAAATAAGCTTTATGGAGCTGGAGAAAAATCTTCAAATGTATAACGTTGACACTCCCGAGTCCCAATACACAACAGCTTAGACACGGAGAGCTATTCCCAAATATGATATAAGATCGTTAGTACTTAGGAGTTCGAGTTGTGGGAAAACCAATCTAATATATCTTCAACTAGTCGATGAAAACAATCTTCTATTTGAAAACGTATATGATGTATATTCTATATTTCTATAGGACTATAGAACTTTGGAACAACCAAAATATAAAGTATTAACACTTATTACCTATGGTATTGCAGGTATTATCGTTTTTACTTTTTCTAAAAATTATAAAGTTATTTCACTTGAGAAACTTTTACCAAGTTAAATTTTTATTTTGGACGATGTTATCAGAGAACATCAAAACGTAAAAAGGAAATATTGTTCTCAAGGTCATCATGATAAAATAGATATATTTTATCGGGCTCAGAGTTATTCAAAAGTACTTAAACATGAGTTACGTTATAAAGCTAATTTAATAGTATTATTCAAACAGGATGAAACCAATTTAAAACACGAATACAATGAACACTGTTCAAGTGGATCTGATATATTATGTGCAATTTAAAAATATTTTTTTGACGGTCTGGAACCCCAAGAGCTTTATATTTTTTGTTATTTGTAAAGATACTGAACATTATCGATAAAACTTATGATTCAAAAACACTTCTAAACACTAATATTATTTTTGACGAAAAATAAGTGAAATTCCTCAAGAACACTGTACTTATTAACAATACACCCATCAAACTCGTGTTAGGTTAGGTTAGGTCATACTATAATTTTATTGTTTTTGTTCAATGAATTGTCATTGGAACAAAAACTACCATTGGGCGGTGGTAAACTCTCCCGATTTTTAAAAATAGTAAACTCTCCCGATGGTTAACTCTCCCGGGTTAATGTTTACCTGAAGTAAATGTGTAAACTCTCCCAGGTCAAAATTATGTTTACCTAAAGTAAATGTGTAAACTCTCCCGGGTTAACTTTATAGTTACCTATAGGAAGTATGTTAACTCTCCCGAGTTGTTTTAAATGTTAAAACATTTTTTTAGAAAAAAAATAGATTTCCTAACTTTTTTAAAATCTGTATGTTMTTCTTACTATCAAAAACAATAATTTTAACATGTTTGTATTTGTAACTTATATCATTATTATTATTATTGACTATTTTTAAAAGAAACTTAAATGTATATTAGATTTTTTGAAATTTTTATTTTTCATTGTATTTTCAATTTTGACTATAATATTATAGCTCATAGCATCTAAAGACATTAATTTATATTGTTATTATATATGATCGACTATTTTTAAACGCAACTTAAATGTATATTAAATTTATTTTATGATTTTTACTAGACCTGGGAGAGTTTACATGTTTCCGTTAGGTAGTACAGGAATAAACCCGGGAGAGTTTACACGTTTCCGTTAGGTAGTACTGGAGTAGACCCGGGAGAGTTTACCATCATGAGAGTTTATAATCGCCCCTACCATTATGGCAACATTTTCATTGTGACCAGAAATCGTGCCGTTAATGTAACACAACTATAATTATTATTTTTATACAAATAGATACTATTCGTTACCAGAAGTTAGACAAAAGTTTTTATAGTATACCATTTTTGATACGGGTCGTCATCGCAGATTTAAGTTCAGTTTTATGGATTTGTTCGTTTTTTTTTTTTTGTGAACTATGTATAACACCTTATTGAATTGGTCAACAGAGTACCCCCCCCCCTCCTGGATGAATAACCTCAACTCTATCTCATGTATTAATATAAATTGTTTCTACTCCTGGTCATCATGATTGAATGGTGCGTATTGGGTTGCCTATCTGCATAAAACTAGCATCAATATTAACTGGCGTATGTTAATTTGGCTGTCTATTCCACAAGATTTAGGGTAATCGACATCAAACCGTATCAAATAATATCAACATTCTTAACTATATACCTACCTATTAGAAAGTAACGGACAGACATATTATATCCCTAATATGAGGTGTTATAAACCTTGAAAACAAACAACACAAAAAATAAAGTAAAAACTCTCGACATTTATTACATCAGATATTTTAAGTAGGTAGGTAATTAATTTTTGGCACATCTATGTTAAAATTAAGTGAGATGAGCGTTAATAACATCAATAACAATCTTATATATTAATTCAATAGTTTGTTTCGTGTAAAATCAAAAATATTCAAGATTTAATGATTATTGCAAAAAAAATATAACATGTAGTTTTTACACGAAAAAAAGTTTTGGCAGTCTACTTTTTATATGACTTAAATTAAAAATGTTCAATGAAGAAAATTAAATTTTATGATGTTTTGATATTATTCAAAATGCATGATTTGCAAAATAAATGTGAATACTTTTAGACTCTTTACTTGTATTGAACGGCTTAACGGCAATATAATCCATATTTGCTATATCGTATATAACATCACTTTAATCAAACGTTTCACTAAAATCAGAAGTGAAAAGAACATGGATATTTTAAAATATATTAATCTGAAATAAATTTTTATATACCTATATTGCCTATACATTGCGCCGTGTAACAATTTAGCAAAATACATTTTATTATAATCTGTAAATTATAGTGCGCTCTAAAAACATTCACAGTAAAAAAGTTATAAGTTATTGAAACAATGAAATGTTATTTAAATTTAAAAAATAGAATGATGGAAATATAACTATAAAGGTCGATTCGTTAGTTAAGTAAACATTGTCACCACTATAGCTAGAATCGGCCATACACGGCTCACCTATTCTTATCTATTCAACCTACAGAACAACAGCCAATCTGCCATCAATGCAATGAAATTCCGTCAATCGAGCATATCACACTTCACTGACCTATGTACAACGAAGAACGAAAAATTTTAAATCATCCCACTACCATGGAGCAAGCATTCGAGGAAGCCAACATTGTATAGGCTAATAACCATAGATGTCGAAGCCTTAATTCTTAATAAAAAAAAGGTCGATTCACACTAACGGTACGGTCATAATCCCTCAATGGGTAAAATATATCTATATTTAATATTTATATCATACATAGATATATTTTACCCATCGAGGAACCATGACCGTTAGTGTGAATTGACCTTAATTGTACAACATTTTCAAAAAAATATTATGGTTTTAGAATTCAAAATTAATTGTATTTATACGTCAACATTTAAATGATTCAACATTTCATAAAGAATACAAATAAAAAAATTATTTGATACTTTTTAGTATACATTTAGTGCTATATATAAGGCTATAACTTTTACTTTATAAATGTTTAAAATTATTTGAAAAATAAATATATTTTTTTTTTAAATCATTAACTATATCTACTACTATCCATAACAAACAGCTTTGAATTTGATCAAATTTGCATAAAATAACTACTTAAGTCTCTTTAAATGAACTTATTACGGTGAAAATTCAATCATCGCCTGCAGTTATGTCCATATGGTTCAATTAATTGAAGTTATTATCAATTAGCCATACGCCGATGTGTGATATTTTTCATTAACTCATTAACTTGAATTTCAMTGTACAATAATACAAAATTATAACAGACAACTGTTTTTTCTATTCTAAATGCATTCACAGTTTAAAATAATATACCTATATGATAAATAATAACTTAATTACAAAAAAAAAAAATTATATCAAATTGGAAATATATTACACAATATCTGATGTTAAAAATGATGCATAAATATATATTTATATTATATTACTTATATACTCTAAAAGAGATGAATTATTTTCAGTGACATTTTTATACGCTCAAAAGAACATTCAATTAAGAGTTATCAACTTTGGACCTCTAATATATTTTATTATGTGGTACGCATGTGTGTGCGCACAACACTATGTGAAATTCCTTTAAGCTCCAACTATAACAATATTATTATCACATTGGAAAATTCTCGTTTTCCTAACGCGTCATACTCATAAAGCAATATTCGTTACGATTTCTTTACAGAGTAATATTACATTATGTTTAACCATCAAATAATATCTCATGATATTATATGTTCTGATACGAGTATTTGATGTAAAAAAAAATTTACGTGGTGATCTCTCTCGACGATCATCGTGAAAGTGAAATTTATAAATTATTTACTCGCGCACATAATGTGATGTGTACACGAGTTGTTTTCGTAAGACAATCGGATAATTTCCAAACGTTGTCACCTTGTTTGACGTAGGCGTAACGCGTATAGAGTCCTATATTATATAGTATATTATACTATTCTACAAAGGAATAACAAAAAAAATTGTCATTGACTSGCGCCCGCGCTAATAACATGTCGGCGTGGCGGTAGAAAGTATGCACACATTGGTACACACACGTGTATAATGTTACACACTGTTAATCGTTATCACTTTATTATGTTATTATGTTGATATTATGGCGGACGAATCGAGTTTGCATAATCTCTCGATTGACCGTGGCGGCGAAGAGTGCATCGCCGCCGATGCAATAGTAAAACGTATGACCAGTGTTAACCAGTTGTAACCGGTATGCACATTCTTGCGGCAGCGGCGACCTATCGCGTACTCTGAGAACCACTGCGTCAACGACGGCGCGGCAGCCGCGGTTGAATTCCTCGGCGGCCTACAAGACAGAAACGAGAGGATTGTGTCCGCGACCGTCAGCTGGTGGGGAGGTGGCGGAGGGGGCCACGTCGTAGAAAGTGGTCGAGCTCAGAACATAATATAATGTATTATTATCTGCGCAATTTAATAATAATAATAATAAAAGTAGTGGTAGGTACCTTGGATACCTACCATAACCGGTGAGGTGGACCTGCGGCGGGGCCATACGACAACAACAATAATAATAATATTCAACATGGCCGACGACGCGGCGTGCATTCGGCGCGCGGTGTTTGCAGCTTAGTAGTCCGCGATACGCGCGCCCGAGTCGACGTCTGTCAGCCGGAATTCGCGTAAAAATTGTGAACAAGTGATAATATTATACTGTGTTTTTGATAGTTATTTTTTAAAATTTTATTCCGATACGGTGTTTGCCGCCGTGATTATAAGTTCGGTTCACGAGTCACCGACGCGCCGGCAGCGGGCCGTTTTCTTTGGCGTTTTCGATGGTCGTCGCCGTCACGGTTATGATGCGCCGGCCGACGACGACGGTGATGCACCACCTACGGACGAGTTCGGCCGGCCGAGCGCGATGAAGTTCACCGCTTGGATCCCGGCCGCGGCCGTCATACTGGTCGCCCTGTGCGCTCCTCGGCCAGGTTAGTAATAATACTCACCCCCCGACTAATGTACTATACTATACGTCAGCTATGCCTACACTCGAGTCGACCTCCCACCGGTTAGGTTTAGGTTAGGACCACACCGAAAATAACGTTTTCGATGACTTTGCTCATCACTGACATCGCTCACTTGCATGTGGTGTAATTGTTGTAGGTGAGATTATTACGACACAATGATACAGAAGTATTATATATATATATATATTATCATTATGTTTTTTGGCTAGTTTTCAAGGGGCGGGGAGTGTGTGCTAAGACATTAAGTATGAGGTATTGGGAAATTCGTTGAATATAGAAAACTTTGAGCTCTTATTCAACGTAGATTATACCACGTTTACCCGCTTTATTATAACAATATATTAATATATAGTTAGCTGATACAGTGATACTCTATTGCATTTCCGTGATAAAATAAATGACTCCAGTGGATTTACCCTGCCTTGAATGTAAACTATGCACATATTTTTAACACTGTCTATAATTATATCCTACTATTTTAATAACTATTTATATATGTATATTACAACCAACAACCCAAAACAAACATACAAATGTTCGTTTTTCGAAAGCTCCTGCAATTTTGAAAAAAAATTCTTAGCAGTAAATCCCTATATGATGGTACTGTTTTACTTGTGTTAGGTACGAAAATATCATATAAATATCGAAGCTCTAGCTATCATAGTTTTAGCTGTATAATTAGTCAGTCAAACATCTTTCATACCTACGGATATGATATAGAAAACTCTGAAACTCACCTTACATACCACATATTATAGCCACAAAAAGGGGTTCAGAAAAGTTTTTAATTATTTCTTGTACACCTATAAAAAGTGCCTCTGAGTTTCGACAAGTCATGTACACATAAACATCACAATGACTACATTAGGACACCAATGGTTGAACCGATACACCTATAATAACTATAATATAATATAGGACACTCCAAAAGCACGTCTTCCACGAAGACCTCGCAGCGGGACAATATGAAATCGGCACGATAGATCATATTGTTTTTAATAATGTACTCCTTATGGTTTTTTCGACTACTATTAGGTAMCTATTATTATACACGACAGTCGGTGAGGTCAAGGCGATGGCAGTAGGTATAGGTGTTTATATTTTCCATTCCAAGCTCTTTCCTCAAAACACATATTTTATCTATTGTTATAGACTTTGGGGTTTGCGTAACGTCACCCGCGTAGACAGTCCTCGTACTCGTTACACAATAACATGTTATTCCAAATTCTAACCCATATACATAATTTATTAGGTACCTGGTTCACGTATCTATGACATGATTTATCAACTACCTACTTAATTCTGTTAAATGTTAAAAAATCTCTACCGAACTCCGTCGAACGAAAAATTCGACTTGTCACTACATTATATTTTCATGATAGCAACTGTAAAGAAATTAATGACTGTAATTATACGGAAGTAAAAGAATTATCAAAATAAAATATTTAGGATTGATTTATGATAGTAAACTAAATTGAAAACACCATATTATTGAACATTTAACTGAATTAGTAAGGACATTTTTCAATATCTTTAAAATACTTATATTACCATATAAATGCTAATATATTAAGGACAGTATATTTTTCATTAGTAAATTATAATATTTTATATGGTATAAACATATGGAGTTGTACTTACTTTAAAACAATATATCTTAAAAATGTCTTATCTCATCCATGGACAGCGCGAGGGGGGGGGGGCAGTTGCCCCGGGCTCCGCGATTTTAAAATTATAATCAAGGCCCCGCAGTTCTTAAATGATATTTTATACTGTTCAGAGATTAGTTAGTTTGGATAATATGTAATGTGGCTGTCATTTATTTTGCCCGAGGCCCCGCAAATCCTAGCGCCGCTCCTGATCTCATCCCAACTAGCGTAAGATTYAAACTGTTTAATGTTACTAATCTTGAAGGTTGAAATACTTTATAGAAATCACCTTTTATTATTGTTTTATAAAATTATAAATATCAGCATCTAATAAATAAAACAATACATAATTTTAATACTAGAATAAAAGTAAAAAGTAATGCAAGTTCCACTGCATGTATCAAACTATTTGGTAGATCAGCGATTCTCAACCGGGGGGTCGCCAACAATTTTTTTAGGGTCGCCAATTCATGTGGGAAAAAAATGTTTCACTTAGAATCTTATAATTAATAGTAAGTGTTGAAATATATATATTTTTGTTTGGATAGTCCAGGTACCAGATCTACCAGGTAGATGATCCCTTTAAACATTAGTGTTGTGTTGTGTAATACAAAATTAATATTGGTTTTTTTCCAAAATTGACTAAATTTAAGATGTTTATTATTAAAAATTTTAATTAATTAATTCTATAAATGTATTAAATGATATGTATTAAATTAGGCAAGATAAAATGTTTAAAACTATAAACACATTTTTTTCAACACAGTTCTATTACTTTTTTATAATTTATCTTTATTGTAATATTAAAGACTCGTCTAGCATATAAAACAAGTTCACTTAGTGGATCAGAAAGTACTTTGTAAAAAATGCACTATGTACCTATTTAAATATTTCTGAAATTAAGTTCTATTATTGTCTAACCTTGACCAATATATGAATGCCTCAATGAGCTTGTTTATTTTTTATAGTGCATAGATCAGATTTTTTCCACTGGTAGTAGGCCTCAATAAAAGTTATGTATATGCGTAAAGCATCATATTGGAATCACTATCCAATCCTAACTAGAAAACATAGATATCTACCATATATAATATTATTATTATTATTATTATATTGTATATCGTACTAAAAACCGGAATCACCGCAAAACGCAAAACATGTTCTAACTTGTTCGTTCTCAGAATGGTCTAAGTCCGGACATTTTGGAAATGGTTATTCGAGAAAAAATACCTATTTTTAACTATAAAAACTAGTTGTGGTCAATCAATAAGACGACTACAAGCAATGAAAGTCACATTGAACAGAATATACTTTGGTGGTTTAATAACTAAATAGTAGGAATCTCTGATACCTGTAATCAATTTGATAAAACTCATGGTCWATTGACGTTTCTATACGATAAGTATTGAGAATTGTCTATTTATTTGATAAAATGCTTGTTTATGTTCCTTAAAAAACTTGATAACCCACTTTTATGATTTTCTGTGAATCCAATATGATGAGAAATTAATCCCTAACAAATATGATATTTTTTTTAAATTGTAAACTACGATTACAATTTTTTTTGGAAATCAGTCTATAAAATGAATGTTTCACCGTATACTTTTGGTCGAATTACTCAAGTAGAAAAAAAATTACGCAAGATCTGCGGATCACTTAGTGTTTATATCTTATTTCAAAAACTCTCGTAGAACTCGTGAAACTGATCATAATTTATACGGACCTAACAAAAATATATACAATTAATATTAATCAGCCATCGCGTACGTTTTATTCGAAAGTAAACGAATATATTATAATGGTAATAGTCACCGATTTGTATTTGGCATACACGCATGTCTCACAATACCTATATATTTCTACATTTTGATTTCATCGATTTTATGAACCTATTGTACAGTCACATTCAACGTTGTACACTAAAATCATTTTATGCTATTAAATATATAAATACCAACTCTATGATAATTTATTATTGTTATTTTTTTAAGAAACAAGTGTTGATATGAAGTGTTATATTAAAGAAATTAAATGTAAAAGTTGATTTTTCTACAGTTGAATCCTTTCTCTTTACGTCTACTCGAACGCTAAAAAAAAAGAATATAAAATATGATTTGATTTTAATTCAGAGTATAATATATACTCACAATGAATAAAACCGGTCATAATGTTTTTACACATTACTACTATTTGGACCATATAGCTTGACTCCTGTTAAACCGTTTCGATGAAAGCCTTTTGGCTATGGATCAGTTGTTATAATGTAAATTCAAATGTATAATTGTAACCAGCACAGGATTTACGCAGCGCATAATGTTTCTTCTCGATCGAATAAACATAATATTATACGTCGGTT